TTTTGGTGTCCCAAGTCACCGGTTTATCTTGAATCCCAAATCGAGGAAATTTTGACTTCCTGAATGGAGTCTGCGAACCAGAAATTCTGAATAAGGAATTCTGTTGACCCGAGGGAAGGTGTTAGGCACCCTCGGATCCCGTGGTTCTAGCACGGCCGCTTAAACTATTATAATTGGCTAAAATATGATTTTTAAACATGTCATCCTATAGTACAATTTTAAAATTATTTACCGCTTTAAATTAAATTTTTTAAGAAATTGAACGTCGTTTAAAACATGTTTTTGGATCACGTCACATGAAATGCACCCGGATCCTCGACACATTTTATTCAACGTTTTGGGATTTGGATTTGGGTCACATGAAATGCACACCTGAGTTTAAGGAAGTTAATTAAATTACGCGCCTAAAGCAACTACGTACTTTCAAATTTGCGAGGGCCATGGAAAATTCACTAATGGCACACCTCGATTTCTAAAGAGTTAAAATTAATTAAGTGAGGGCCATGAATTTTGAGATTTTACTTGACATGGCACGCCTCAAATTATTTCAAAGGGTTCTATTGTTCGAATTTGTTACAAACGGGTTACATGAAATGCACCCCCGAATTTGGAATTGTGTATCATAACGATGTCACAGGCACCGTACCCATATGTAGGCAAAAATACGAACAAAGGTAAAATGAAGCTACAACACATTTCAATCAACCAAACCAATCACCAGTTAACCAAACAATCTCAGATTAATACCTATGTGGTCAAGCATTTAGTATAACAACAAAAGATGACACACACTCAAGCAACTTTGATGTATATCACGGGTATAACAGTAGGCGCAGCAAATTGGAAGTTAAGAAGAGCTGATCTCGGGCCAATTGTTCATTTAACAAAACTGAGATTTATGTGACTAAAATCTAGACCCATTTGGCAAATATACAACGCAGCAACAGTATGAGATTCATTTAATCACATCCATTATTAGGCAAATAATACAAGTTTAGGAGATGTACCTAGCAGCAAAAACGCAATGGAAAAAACTGACCAAATAAAGGTCGGAAGGTAGGAGATGAAGTTCAGATCCACAGCAGCAAAACAACAGAGAAACAACTTCAAATCTGCCCCGAAATCAGCTTGAAAACCCAGAATATGATGAAGGTAATTGACAGAATTTAGGAGGCACCTTCGAAACCCCTTTTTTTTTGGTTTTTTTTAAATTTCGATTTTCTGGAGTGACTTTGTTCTTCAGATCTGAAAATTTTCTCTCAAATTCATTCCCTCTAAGCGTGAGAGAGAGAGTGAGGTCGTCGTTTTTGTTTTGAGAAATGCCATGGAGTGCCGTTCTCTGCTATTTCTTGAGAAGAGAAGTCCAATCTTTTTTTTTTCTTTTTTGTGTCGAAAAATGGAAAAAAGCTGCGCTCCCTCTAAAGATCGGAAAAAATCTGATGGATATGGTCTTTAGGGTTGAGATTTAATGAGAGGGGAATGGGTTATTGGGCCAGGTCGGGTCATAGGGAGATTGGGCTAGTGGGTGTTTAAAGATGGCTCAATTTCAATTCTTTTCCAATTCTTTCTTTTATTTCAAATTTTTCTTTTTTTTTTTAATTAAAATCCTACAAATTAAAAATCCTTAATTGTCGGAAAATGTGAAATTAAACTAATTAACTAATTACAAAATTATAAAAACTACTTAATCCTAAATTAAAAGTGGAAAGTCAATAACCTAAAAATAAAAGTCAAAAGTGTAAAAGTGACGCATTTTTTTGTGATTTTCATTTTTTAATAAAACAAATAATTAACTAATTAATCCTAAAAGTGTAAAAGCAAAACCTAAATGCAATGCATGATATTTTTTGACATTTTCATGATTTTAATAAAAATTAAACGTGCAAAAAATGCAAACAATTAATAAAATTCTACAAAAATCCTAAAATGGCAAATAATTAACAAAAATCTATTTTTCTCGGGATTTTATAGGAGTATTTCGTATAGGGCAAAAATCACGTGCTTACAGCGGCACGACGCAGGGCCTCGCTTACTCATCAGCGAGTACAACTTGGGTCTTCTCACGATCAATTATTCCTCCCCAATAGTGCTTAACTCTATGTCCGTTCACCAAAAATTTTCTTTCACCATTTAAAGCTCGCAGATCAATTGCACCATAAGGATTGACTCTCACCACCTCAAAAGGGCCTAACCATCTCGATTTTAACTTCCCAGGAAATAACTTTACCCTAGAATTGAACAATAATACCTGTTGGCCTGGCTCGAAGTGACGTGGCTTGATACGCTTGTCATGCCATCTTTTAGTCTTCTCTTTATATAGCTTAGCATTTACATAAGAGTGCAGCCTGAACTCATCTAATTCATTCAACTGCAAGAGTTTTCTCACCCGCGGCGTCAAGGTCCATGTTCAACTTCTTAATGGCCTAATACGCTTTGTGTTCAAGTTCAACAGGCAAGTGACATGCCTTCCCATAAACAAGCTTATAAGGCGACGCCCCAATTGGCATTTTGTATGCAGTTCTATACGCCCACAAGGCATCATCTAACTTCGCAGCCCAATCCTTTCTATTCACACTCACCGTCTTCTCTAAGATTTGCTTTATTTCTCTGTTCGACGCCTCAGCTTGCCCACTTGTTTGAGGGTGATATGCTGTAGCAACTCTATGGCGGACTCCATATTTACCTAGAAGATTATTCGACAACCGATTGCAGAAATGAGTCCCCTCATCACTAATTAAGGCACGTGGAGTCCCAAACCTCGAAAATATACTCTTTTTCATAAACGCAGCTACCACCATGGCATTATTTGTTGGCAAGTCAATTGCCTCTACCCATTTTGACGCGTAGTCAACTGCTAGCAAAATGTATTTATTTCCTCTGGACGATGGGAATGGTCCCATAAAATCTATCCCCCACACATCAAAAATCTCAACCTCCAGGATGTTATTCAAAGGCATCTCATGCCTCCTTGTGATTGTTCCTGTTCTCTAACATTGGTCACACGTCTTAACAAATTCATGGGCATCCTTGAATAAAGTAGGCCAAAAGAGACCGGATTGTAGTACCTTTGCAGCTGTTCTATCTCCTCCGTGATGGCCCCCATAAGGTGATGCGTGACAGTCGTACAACACCAATTCTACCTCATTTTCTGGAATGCATCTCCTCATCAACTGATCAATACATTGCTTGTACAAATATGGCTCATCCCAATAGTAGAAGTTTACATCATGCAAAAACCTCTTTCTAGCTTCAGATTCAATTTCAGGAGGAAGTACCCCACTCACAAGATAATTCACATAGTCTGCGTACCATGGGGGAGGGTCTTGGGTTATAGTAAAAAGTTGCTCATCATGAAATACTTCTTTAATTTGGCCACCCTCCTCCACGTGGTCGTGATTTTCCAGCCTTGATAGATGGTCAACTACTTGGTTCTCAGTGCCCTTTCGATCTCGTATTTCTACGTTAAATTCCTGCAACAACAAAACCCAGCACATCAATCTGGCCTTAGATTCCTTTTTTGTAAATAGATACCTGATGGCTGCATGATCAGTATAGACTATGACTTTTGTTCCCACCAAGTATGCTCGAAATTTCTCAAAGGCCCACACAACAGCTAACAACTCCTTTTCAGTGGTGGTGTAATTCAGTTGTGCATCATCCAGAGTCTTACTCGCATAGTAGATAGAATAAAACACCTTGTCTTTCCTCTGGCCTACTGCCCCAATAGCATGGTCACTCGCATCACACATAAGTTCAAACGGTAAAGACCAATCTGGTGCCACAATAATGGGAGCAGCCACCAACTTCTTTTTGAGTTTTTCAAACGCCCTGAGGCGGGCGTCATCAAGATTGAAAGTTACATCTTTTTCAAGCAACCTGCACAAAGGAGTAGCAATTTTAGAAAAATCTTTAATAAAGCGCCGATAGAATCCCGCGTGTCCCAAGAAACTCCGGACACCCTTCACAGAAATCGGTGGAGGTGATTTTTCAACCCTCTCCACCTTCGCCTTATCAACTTCAATGCCGCTCCTAGACACTCTGTGACCCAAACGATGCCTTCTTGTACCATAAAATGGCACTTTTTCCAATTCAATACCAGATTTGTTTCTTTACAACGGGCCAGCACCTTGCTCAAATTCTTTAAACAATCATCATAAGAAGACCCAAAGACTGAAAAATCATCCATAAAAGCTTCCACAAATTTTTCCACCATATCGGTGAAAATAGCCATCATACATCTCTAGAAGGTTGTCGGTTCATTACAAAGACCAAACGACATTCGCTTGAAGGCAAAAGTGCAATAAGGACAAGTAAAAGTGGTCTTCTCCTGGTCCTCTGGGCATATGACAATCTGGTTGTATCCCGAATAACCATCAAGGAAGCAATAATAATCATGCCCAGCCTTTTTATGGGAAAGATGATACCTGCATCGAGCAACTTAATTACTTCCTTCTTCACGACCTCTTTTATAATGGGATTTAACCTCCTTTGCTGCTCAACACTAGGGCGGTGTCCATCTCCCAAGAAGATTTTATGCATGCAAAATGATGGACTGATTCCCTTGATGTCAGCAATAGTCCACCCAATAGCCTTTTTATGCTCGCGGAGTACTCTGAGCAATTTTTCTTCTTGAGTGGTAGTCAAACTGGAAGAGATAATCACGGGCAATGTCTGAGAGTTCCCCAAATAAGCATAGCGCAGATGCGCTGGGAGGGGTTTAAGTTCTAGCTTTGGAGCTTGTTCAATGGATGGCTTAGGAGGGGTCAGAGTAACAGGCCATTCAAACTCCTCAAATTTTCCAAACCCATGGACATAACTGTAAGACATATCAAGTACTTGCTCAATTTCTCCCATCATTTCATCTTCACTATCTTCTTCATCCCCAATCAAAGCTCGTTCAAGAGGATCTATAGGGCTCATATAAGGCACTAATGATGTAGCATCGCTTTCCACCACAGAAATCATGGATAGCTCTTCATAGTAGGCTGGCAACCTGAGTGCTTTATAAACATTGAATACCTCCACTCGATCACCTACTCTCGTCGTCATCTTTCCTTCACATACATCAATAATAGCTCATCTTGTGGCTAAGAATGGATGCCCCAAAATAAATGGGACTTCCTGATCAGGCTCGTAGTCTAAGATAATGAAATCAACAGGGAATATGAAAGAACCCACTTGAACTAACACATCTTCAATCACTCCTTCAGGATGAGCAAGGGATCGATCAGCCAACTGTAAGATTACCGTTATTGGGCGTCGCTCACCCAACCCCAACTGTCTGAGCACAGATAGCGGCATCAAATTGATGCTTGCTCCAAGATCACATAAAGCTCGCCCAACTGCATGTTTACCAATCGAGATTTGGATAGTGAAGCTACCTGGATCCTTCAATTTTTGAGGTAACTTGCTTTGAATTCTTGAGCTACACTCCTCAGTGAGTGCCACAGTTTCGAACTCGGTCAGCCTTCTTTTATTTACCACTATGTCCTTGATGTACTTTGCATATTTGGGCACTTCTTGTAAGATGTCTACCAATGGAATATTAATTTGCACCTGCTTCAAAATATCAAGAAACTTTTTATATGCGGCATTGTCCTTCACTTTCTGCAATCTTTAAGGGAACGGAGGTGGTGGCCTTGCAACCAATGGTGGGGGTTGCTCAGCCACCGCCTCTTAAGCTGACTTCTCTGACTTCTTTGATTTTTCTGATGTTGATTCTATAGTGGCTGGCCTCTTATTAAAAGTCACTTATTTGCTCTTTTTCGACCGGACTTCCTCTAATTGTCTCCCATTCCTCAATGATACGGCATTAAGGGATGCCTTAGGATTAGCTTCAGTGTCACTTGGAAGAGCTCCAACCGGTCTAGTGTTTTGAGAACTGGCAAGTTGTCCCACTTGGCACTCCAAATTTCTCATTGCTATGGCTTGGACCTGCTGATCAGCCATCAATTTTTTTAATCATTTCCTCAAGGTGACTTGTTGGACTCGCTTATTGTTCAGCCTGCGGAGGTCTATACTGTTGTTGAGGTGCTTGAGGCCAGTATTGATTCTGGGTACCTTGGTTTCCACCCCAAGAGAAGTTTGGGTGGTTCCTCCAGTTGGGATTGTAAGTGTTCCCATATTGGTTTTTTGGCCCCTATTTGTATTACCCACAAAGCAGACAGACTCTGGATTAACTGTACATAAGTCGTTTGTGTGACCCTCTCCACATACTTCGCAAAGCGCCTGAACCTATTACACTGGTTGAGATTGTTACTTGTTAATAACCATGGCCATCTGACTGACTTGGTTGGTCAGTGTAGAAATCTGCGCTGATAATGCTGAGATGACATCTAACTCGAGAACCCCTACAGATTTTTGTACCGTGTGTCTGCCCATTTCTCCTTGCCTATCCGGATTGCTTTTGGAGAATTTGTTCAATAATGTATAAATCTCATCAAAGCTTTTCTCCAACACTTGACCTCCAAATGCAGCATCTACCACAATCTTTGTTTTAGGATGTAGACCTTCTATGAAAGTGTGAGCTAATACTTCTCTTGTCTAATTGTGATGAGGACAGTCTCTAATTAGCCACTTGAACCTCTCCCAAGCTGAGTATAAAGACACCCCCGCTTTCTGTTTGAAGGCAACTATCTCACTTCTAATCTTTGCAGTTTTGCCTTAAGGGAAGAACCTTGCCAGAAATTTCCTTGCCAAATCATTCCATGACGTAATAGAATTAGCTGATTCTGCCTTCAACCATCGCTTTGCTTCACCCAACAGTGAGAATGGAAAAAGTGTGAGCCTCACATAGTCTAGAGTGACTCCGTTAGTGATATAAGTGTCACTAATCTCCAAGAAGTTCAGTATATGCTGTTGTAGATCCTCTTGTGGAAGACCCATAAACTGCCCATTTGCATGAAGTAGCTAGATCATGCTCTGTTTCAGCTCAAAGTGCCCAGTGATCCTGGGCTTCATGATGATAGGCTATAATTGTGTATTTTAATCGCTTATTACACTCTAATTTACTGCACTTTAATTGAATTTGAGCTTTAATCGCTAGTGTTTTGCACTAATTATGTATTTTATGCCTTGTAGGAGTGATTCCGAGCTGCGTAGATATTATGGAATAATTCAAGTGATTTGGAGCTTTGAAGTCTGAGTAAAAGCCCAAGAAATTAAGCCGGGATCATGTTCAGGGATCAACAGATGATAGTTAAGAACGAAACAAAGAATCGAGCGGGCATACGGTGCATTGTCTAGTAAAATACACATAACCTTTCTCTTAGAACTCCGTTTGGGCTCCACAATATACCGTTGCAAATCTACTTGAAAGGACTACAACTTTCATGTTTTGCATTTTTGCAAATTCCCACTACCGCGGCGCATGGTGCGGCGCGTGGCGCGCTGTGCCTGTGGAAAATTCCTGCAGCTTGTCAGAATCAGCTCTCTGAACTTTGCCACAAGCACACCGCATGGCGCGTTGCCCCATGCAGCGCGCTTGTGCAAATTTTACAGAGCCAGAGTCCTATTTCGCACAGGAAAAGGTATTTCGTCTGGGCCCGACTCTACTTGGTATAAATACATGTAAAAATGCTATTTTGAGGGAGGGGAACATACTTTGGACAGACTTTATACCTAAGGAGGCTAAGGAGATCGGGGATTCGACCTAAGGAGGCAAGAACACACTAGGAGCAAGGCGGAGAATTTTCTACGAGTTTTTCACTTCCTTCTTCCGATTTCCATTATTGGTTATGAATTCTAGTATTGTAGTTATGCATACTATTATGAATAGCTAATTTGTTATCTATGGTTTTGATGGAACCTATTGGAGGATGATTTTCCTGTTACGTTAATATAGATTTGCTGAACTATTTTCTCTATTTGTTCAACTACGTTATTATTGCTGCTGATTGAAGGCCCCTCAATCGACTGTGCCTATTTAGTATGTATTACTCGGGAGAGAGTGCATATCTAGGTAGTTGTTGAACAACATCACTCCTAACATATATGAGGGATCAATACGGAGGGTTTAAAGGTGGGATTAGGGATAACGAAACCTTGGGTGCGATCCGAGTGAGCCGTACTTAATGCCAGCTAGCATAATTCGGGAGAATATGTCTAGTAAATTATGGTAATTATTCGGGAGAGAGTTACGACAGTCAGAGCGCTCATGATTGGTAGAGAATATTTAGGCGAATTTATAGAAAACGTAGCGGGAGGGATTCCAACAATAGGGGAAATCATAACTCTAGACCTCCTGAATCTTGTCTCTAACCCTTAGTATCTTTAGTTGTTAATTTTTCTATTTTAATTTGTTAGTTAATTAGTTAAACACAAGAATCTTAATATCTATAAGTTAGGAATTGTTCAAGCTTGTCTTCTTGGTGATAGTGAACAACTGTAGCTAAGTCTTAGTTCTCTGTAGGATTCGACTCCGGACTTGTAAACCAAATTATATTTGCAACGACCGCTTAATCCTTTTTATAAGGCATAGTTGGGTGTGATCAAATTTTGGCGTCGTTGCCGGGGAACCAACGGTGTAGCTGTAGGTGTACATATTGCTAGGTTTCAAGTTTGAATTTTTATTTTTATTTTTGTATTTGATTTTTTTGTTTTACTTGTTGATTTTTAGAAAAACATGGCATCTTGGAATTATGAGAATTTTGATGTTGGTTATTCTATTTTTAATCCTCCTCATGCATATTGTGAAGGAAACCACCCTTTGCAAAATTGTCAAAATATTTCCAAGAGCGAGTTGTGTGCACCAACTCAATCTTATGTGTGGAATATGTGTGATATGTGTGGTGGTCAAGAACCTAGGGAAACCATCCCCTTATGATGATGATTTCACTTTTTTCTTGTGAGGATAACAGGAACAAAAAACCTAGGGAAGCTGACCTAAAGGAGATCAAAGATATATTAAAGTGCCATGTGGAACAATATGATGAGAAACCACGATAGATACAAAGGCAAGAGGCAATTATTCACAACTTGGAGGCTCAAACGAATAAATTAATTGAACCTTGTAAAGCGCAACAAGTTGACATTGTGGATAGTAGCCAATATGAGCATGAATTGGCTGCAGAAATTGCCATTATACTGGAGGATTTAAAAAAATACGGGGAGGGGATAGAGGAGAAGGCCAGAGTAGAACACCAACAATCAATTGAACTAGATTTTAAGGATGTCGATGTCGTAGAAGAGATACTAGAGTCAACCAAGGATATTAAGGATACATATTTAGTTGACTCTAGTGTCATTGATACTGAGGATGTTGACAATCCCAGTTTTCATGTAGTAGAGCGCATTGGTCCACACTCCAAGTATTTTTCCACATTGTTTTTAGATGATGATATAGAAATAGAGTCATCCGAGCAACTTGAGGAGTCAAGGGATGAGGAACAAGGTGCTTACATTCTGGAATTCTTCTTGCCAGAAAGTCGGGATTACACACCTCATCTAAAGGCCAAGAAGTGCAGAATATTTTATTGGGCCAGTCAGATTCGTTCCACCATCCCAGGAGCATGATCATAAAGCAGAATCAAAACTTGGGGTCCAATTTATATGCTCAAAGTGGAGGCAGAAAGTGATTCGCGTCGTGCCGCGACGTTAAAATCAAGCGCTTGTTGGGAGGCAACCCAGCTTTACTGCTTTCTTTTCTTTTATTTTTTTATTATTTTTTTTAATTTTATTATTTTTGTAGTGTCGATTTTTGATTTTCTAGTAGCATGGAAAGCAAAGTTATTGGAAGGATGCAACAACAAACTAGATGGTTGGAACTGAGTGTGAGGTACCCGCACGAAGGACCATGCCTGGGAGAAGTCTGAGTACCCCATGAGCTGCTAGTCATTCGGCCTTTGGCCTACAGGGAGTTTCTTTTACCCTCTTTTAGTTATGGTGTGCATTGGGGACAATGCACAATTTTAAGTGTGGAGTGAGGGGAATGTCTGGGTGACTTTCTATGCTATTTTAATTGTGTTAATTTAATTGAATATTTTTTTTTAATTATTTTTTAGAAAAACAAAAAAAAAAGATCGGACATTTCCCGACGATGGATATCCTAG